GACCTTGCTATGGCTGCTCATTGTGGGATGGCATATCACATTGCATTATTTGCAGTTTGCTGTTGGGTGCATTTGTTGTCAAGTTCTTGATAAAAGCAATAGATTAAAAAAGTCAAGCAATTTGGTTAGAGGTGAGGTGCAATGGTTAATATGATGCATCAGCTTAACTTAGATGCTGGAATAGTTTTCTCTTCAAGACACTTTTCTCCATCTGTAACAGTATCATTGAGCCTTTCACATGTAGCTGTGCTGTTAAATATCAAACAACAAAATGAAGTGACACCAAATTTACATGGTACAGCAGAGCCCATCTTGAAAAACCACCCCTTATGCCAAATATAATGGTCTCTCAAAACAGGTGGTTTCTCAAGACAGGTCTTTCTGTACTTAATATGAGTAAAATCCCTCAAAAAATGTTTTTCATCCTTCCACAAAATTTCAGTTATGGCCCCTTTTGCATTAGATCTTTGCCTTTGAATCATTTTTTTTTATAATCAGAATGTATATGAAGACGATGTGTCTTTATATGCATTCATACTTTCTTATTTTCTTGCTTTGTTTAAATTTGATTATAAATATATGGTAAAATAATTGATTTTGGTATTTCCATTTGAGTGTTTTATTACATATTTTTCTGAATAAAATGATGGAAAATTGTCATTGTATGGGTGTTTAGAAAAAATGAAACTGTAATCGTGTCTGTGTAAAAAAATATTTTTCTGCTCATTTGAATATACCTTGTTTACATTTTTGAGAATTGTGCAGAGACTTTCTCAAGAAAGCTTTTTGATGAAATTTTGTTTGACATAATGTCGTGAAACTGAATTAGCTGCAAAATATGGATTATTCTTTATTCAAAATAGATGAACTTTTGGTTAGGTAGTGCTCTAAAGTTTTATGTCTTGCATAGGGTTAGATTTTAAAAGAGAAGGAATTTTCCAGGTTTTCCTCACTGGTCATACTGGCAATTTAAAATGAACCTTGTATTTCTTGGTATTGTTCAAAAATCTTTGTATTCCCTTTATATCCTTGTGTGATTGATTTGTCTAATATGAGTTCCACAGTATACAGTTGAGCTTTACTTCAGATATGCATGTCTAAAAATAACTGCTAGCTAAACTTGGTGATTTTCACTTCTTGGACTTCAGAGGTAAATTGTAAACAAGAACTGATAACTTCTTTTCCATTTTTTATATTTGGTAATTCATTCATTGCACTTTCAGAAGCTGGTATTGTCTATTCTGGCAAAATTCATTTTCCCCATTTAAATAACTGCTGAAGATGTATACTTTAATTTAAGCTGATTATTTTAGCACAGATAAAGTCATTTTAGTTAGCTCTGTGCTTAGATCATGTACAGTATCTAAAGATGTTTCAGCCATAGTATTTGAAAATAACATAAAGGTATGCCAAAATTTCTCCATTGTACATGTTGCAAATTCAATTATCTTCACCTCACACCGGCCATTCTCAGAAGTTCACAATATCTGTAAAGTACCCTCCCCTCTTTAGCAGTCTCTAATTAAGTAAGGAATGAATGATATATTGCGATAGGTCAGCATAAAGTCATTTGTATATACTCACTCATAATTTGCATTCAGATATATTGGACATGCTGAGATCTGCAATTGTGTAATGTATCCATAGATCTGTGTCTGTTTAATTTGCTAGGAGTAATCAGTAAAACAAACATAGACCCTGAACAACTGATGCATTATGCAATGGCAGATCAAGGTGTGTATTGATTGTGCTTTATACAATATCTTATAGTCCTCCCATCAGTGCATATCATTATGTTTTTGTAACTGATACAAACATGTTTTGTTCTCCGATGTCTCTTGCATTTTGTGGGACATAATTGTTTGTGTTCACGATCATAGTGTTAATCCAGAAATGCAGTTGAAAATTTCCTTAAACTTATCAAAATATTTTATGACAGATACGGACACTATCATATAGTAAAATAAACTCTGCAACTTTTAGAGTCAGTCTCTTTTCTAAAAAGTAATTGTTGATAAGATAAAGGGAGATAATTTTGTTGTTGTTGTGGGGCTTAATGCCATTTTTCAGCATTTCTCACATATCCACATTCGCCGAATCTTAGACTCGAACCCACGCAGACAGGTGAGATAGTAGTAATCCATAATGGAGAGTGATTTAGAGAGAATTTTGCAAAATTTTCATTGATTGCAATAGTATAAATGAGGATATAATTTTTTGAGTGATTATTTCAGTTGTGGATGAGAATATAAAAATTTCTGTCCTTTTAAATATTTGACACAGATTGGTTAGTGTGATGTTTCATATTGAATATAAGGAAACCAAACTTGAGGGGAGCCAAGGTAGCTCTGTTGGTAGAGCATTGTAGTCATTATGCAGGATCTTGGGTTCATTACCTTCCCTTGCCTGAATTGAATGCCTTGGTGTATCTTTGTGAAAGGCACTTAAGCTCACATTTCATCGGCATTATATGACCCTAATTTGTTTAAAGTGCTGTTAAAACCCGCCCACCAACCCAAAATGATCAAAACTTGAACCTACATCACATTGAAAATAAATTGCCATATTATTCCATTTAATAACACTCATATATCTGCAGGCAGCATAGATCCAAAATATGGTATTGTCAGGTATCGCCTATATGAGAGAATATGGTAATGTCAGGTATCTCCTATATGAGAGAATATGGTAATGTCAGGTATCGCCTATATGAGAGAATATGGTAATGTCAGATATTGCCTATATTAGAGAAGTACATTGAAAAGACTTCTAACAGGAAATCTGCTATATAAACAAAAAAAGCAATTACCCACTAATTATAGGAGTGCTACACATGAGAGAATATGGTAATGTGTCAAGTCTTGCCTATATTAGGGAAGTACATTGAAAATTTTAAAAGACAATCTGATGTACCAAAAGAAGCAATTACACACTGTAAAGAATATGCTATTGCAGTGTGGCTTTGTATACAGGGTGTAAATTATTTAATTACACTTTTTAAAGGCTAAATGATGACTTAAGATATAAAACCATATTTAACATAATAGAGTCTTTGTTCATTCCTTGTTCAATAAAATTCTAATGTAACTTTTAAAAAGTTAAGAAAAGTAAGTTTCATATTGAAACACAAATTTTGCCCAATACTACCCATATTGTATTTATTAGTATGTAAAATGCTAGATGATGTAGACCCATATCTGTTGGCACAGAATGTAGGAGCAGACTTGGGTCTCTTCCATGCAATAGAAATCATAAAAATGTTTAACACCCTAGATCTGATCTACTGGTGTAGTATCACTGATGGCAGATCTGTATTATATTTAGAGTCTCTAGACTAATTAAGACATTGGACTAATTAAGGCATTGGACTAATGACCTAAAAGGTGTAGGTTCAGTTCCCACCATTGGTGCATCCTTAAGCAGGGCACTTTGCTCTGATTCAGCACAATATAACCTTCAAAGTGCTCCTTTGCATTAAAATGACCCCCCCCCTCAAGAAAGAAAGCCCAACAGCAAAACAATACATTAACTGCAGTTTGGGGCACATCATACAGTAGATGATATGGTAACATGATATTAAATGGTTGTTTGACAATGGTGGGTTTATACTTCCAGTTTATTTTTTTATTTTTTTTAGCAAATATATTTTACCAAATTAAAATGATGAACTTCCGATCTTTATACCAGACAAAAATAATGTAAATATCTCTTGGAAGTGTGACTTTCAGCAGATGATGGCCTGCACCATGGTAATTCCTGTACACTTTTGCTAGTTTTGAAAGTTGACTTGGGGTAATTTTTTTCTCCTTGTTATTTTTGATACAATTCTTGTCAGGATCTCATTTATAAAATTTTTCATTTATACAAGGGGATGGACCAGTGATAGTTTACCACTACCAGTTGTACCTACATTGTCTTGCAGAAAATTGCACACATCATACAAAAATGGGTACATTTTCATATTTGCCATCATCTGCTTTAAATTATTCTTTTAACTGAAATCATTTGTCAAGGTTCATAGTTCTTATTTTTAATGTTATGTAATTTTTTTCCAGAAAGCTGGAAGATACACTTGCTTGTTCATCTGCTTTGAAATGGACTTTAACTTTGCACAAGATATAAATTAAATTGGAGATAATTCCATTGATCTTGTGCATTTTCATCCTATATTAACTTTAATTTTTGAGGAGAACTCAATTATCTGGTGTGCTAGACATAAACATTTTTTTTCTTTAATTGTGAATTTTTTTTATTATTGACTAGATTTTTTGTTTGTTTAGTATTTTTGACCATAATAACTTTGTTTGCCATTTTATTGTCTTGTCACTCATTGTAGTATATAATGGTGAAAATAAAGTGCAAAGCAGTCACTGTGTTTTGTTGTTTATTATTGTTAGACATTTAGTAAGTTTTACATACTATATGAAATACATGTTATATATATATATATATATATATATATATATATATATATATATATATATACATACACACACACATGCATACCATATTTATTGAAAAAATTGAATGCAGAATGATTAGTCTACCCTTGCATTTTAGCAAATAACTTTGTGAAAAGACTTCTTTAATAATAGCCATCAACCTTTTGAAACTCTTTTAAGAATTATAAAAAAAGAAATACTCTATGCATGCCATAATAAAAGAAATACTCTATGCATGCCATAATAAAAGAAATACTCTATGCATGCCATAATAAAAGAAATATGCCATAATAAAAGAAATACTTTATGCATGCCATAATAAAAGAAATACTCTATGCATGCCATAATAAAAGAAATACTCTATGCATGCTATAACAAAAAAAATATGCCATAATAAAAGAAATACTCTATGCATGCCATAATAAAAGAAATACTCTATGCATGCGGTGATAGTTTATTATAGGCTGGATATGATACATGATTAACAATTGATGACATCAAAATTGCTAATATGTACAGGATGAACACACACAGTGCATCCTCCTTACATCATGGTTCAACCTCTCCAGTGGCCTAGTGGTTAGAGCCTCTGCCTTGGATGTGGGAGGTCATGGGTTCAAACCCTGGCTAAGTCAAACCCAGACTTTTAAAAAAATGATACTAACTGCTGCCTTGCTTAGCGCTAAGCATTAAGAGGTTAGTGTTAGGACTGGTTGGCCTGGTGTCAGGATAATGTGACTGGGTGGACATAATGCCACATGTCTGCAGCATGATGCCCCAGTGCTAGATATTACTATAAACTGTCACACTGCAGACATCATAGCAATATGACTGAAAAAATTGTTAAAGCTATGTAAAAATTCTTATGTCAAACACGCACACATCATGGTTCTTTGCAATCATAATAGTACAGCTGTGTTACTAGTGTTTCCACTTTACGAAGTCTTGTGTACAGATCAGCACTGATTATCCAGATGACATTATGTTCATTAGTATCAACTCCCACCATTTTGCTCACAAATTTGCATTGAAGATTAATAAGATCACTTATTTATATGACTAATTATGATAAAACAATTGTTGTATCCCGATTAGTATAATTTGCAATGCAGATGAGTCCAGTTTATTGTGCAAATTCACAAGATCATGGATAAAAAAATCACCAATTATCTTGAATGGGTGTCAAAACAATTTGCAATGGAAGACCAGATTCCATATAAATGTACCTCACTTGGGCCTTATGTATCATGAACTATGGCAAGCATGCAAATAGACCTGATCTGCAAGAATGACTAAAATGTCTGGTATTCAGTATGTCTGATGCTCCTGATCTAGAACATCCCAACAGGCAAGACTTGCTGCTTCACTGAAATTGAAACTAAAAAAATAATAAAGACAATAGTGTTCAAAATAAGGGCATTCAAGCAATTAGCTTTCAAATTACACTTCTTTAGTAAAGTAAGTAGTGTTCAAGTTACAGTGGATTTATAAAGCAAGTACTGTTCAAAGTGTAGTGAAGTAATAAAGAACTTGGTGTTTAAAATATAGTGGATTAAGAAAGTAGGTGTTCATATCAGGGTGGATTAAGAAAGTAGGTGTTCATATCAGGGTGGATTAAAAAAGTAATTGGTGTTCTAAGTACATTAATAAAATAAGTAGTGTTTAACTTCGCTTGATTAATGAAGTACGTCATGTTCAATCTACATGGATCAATTAAGCAGTATTGAGAATGGTTGATTAACGAAGTAATTAGTGTTCAAGTTTAAGTGTATTGGGAACTTTAGTGATCAAATGATGGTTGAATAAAGTAGTATTCAAATTACAGTGGAAAAATAAAGTAACTAGAATTCAAACTATTGCTAATTAATAAAGTAACTCATGTTCAAGCTATGGTTGAGTAATAAAAAAATAATTCATGTTGAAACTATGAGTAATAAAACTGTTTTTGTTGTAGGGTATAATGCCATTTTCAGCACAAGATAGGCTATACATGGCAGCCAAAATAAATGGTGGAGGAAGAATCTGGGAAAACCCTGGAAAGAACTACCAACACACAAGAAGCTACTGGCAAGCTTTCTCACATACCAACATTGGCCAAATTTGCGTTTCGAACCCACACAGAAAGAGGTGAGATGGCAGTGATTTGTAATGGTGAATGCTTTAGACCACTCAGCCACTTGGGGCCACGCGTAATAAAATAAATAGTTGTGGTCAAACTATGGTGGATTGATAAAGTGTGTAGTGTTCAAACTAATGTATGTTAATAAAGTAATTAATATTCAAAATGGTGGATTAATGTTGAAAGTAATGTTCAAACTGGTAGATTAATAAAATAGTATTTAATGTTAGGTATATTAATAAAGTATTTAGTGTTAAAACTACTGTGTGGTAAGTCTCTGGTTTGGCTAAAGTGGGTATGTGAGAAAGCTTGCCAGTAGCTTCTTGTGGGTTGGTGGTTCTTTCTGGGTTTTCCTGGGTTCTTCCTCCACCATTTATACTGACCGCCATGCATAGCCTATCTTGTGCTGTAAAATGGCATTAAACCCTACAACAACAACATTGTGGCAATAAAGATAGTAGCATTTGAAACTATGGTGGATTAATAAAGTAAGTATTTAGTATTCAGCTTTTATCTTTTTACACTAATCCCCATTTGCAAGTCCATAACATGTTAAAATTTTAATATGGTAATCATTATTCAACAATTATTAAAGTACCCAACTGGTTTAATTGGATTTGTGCTCAAGAAATTATGCAGTAATCCCAATTTGTCAAGTATCTTAGTATTTCATGATTTTAATTAGATATGTGCTGTAGTAATCATCAAAAATCGAGCAAAAGTAATTACTTTAAATTCATTTCTATTTGTGGTTTAAATTTTTATTGTCAATTTTGATGTCCTTTCATGGACTACAATTTTAATGTACTGTAAATGTAAAGGTAAAACATTTCTGTCAATAACAAAGAAGTGGCTTTTGGAATAAAGTCCTGTTCATTACATCAAAGTAACATTATTACATTATTCAGTGGAACTCTAAATTCTTGTCTAGCAGCATCTTCAAAATTAATGATAAATTAATATCTAACCAAAAATAACATAATACAAAAGTCTGTCTGTCTGTCTTTCTATATCTAATCTATCTAACCTGTCTAGCTGTCTATTTATCTAATCACTACTCACAGGTCTGAACCTTGCTCAAGTGTTAAGTGATACCAGAGACTTTAAAAATGGTACTAGCAGCTGCCTTGCTTGGCACTCGGCAATAAGAGATTACAGTTAGGACTCATTAGTCTGGTGTCGGAATACTGTGACTGGTTGGGATATGATGCTGTATGTCTATGGCATGATGGCCCAGTGCTAGACATCACTATAAACTGCCACACTTCAGACATAGTGATATAACTAAAATTCTTAAAGCTACATAAATAATCTAAATCACAAAACCACAAGTATATGTATCTATCTGTATGTGTTTATATATGTGTACCCTTGAAATTCTTTAGATGTCACTCTCAAAAAAGGCTTTATTTGTGTAGCAGTTTGTACAGCAAATATAGGAAAAAAAATATGCAGTCTGTATAAAACATACATGAAATAAAATATACAGTCTGTATAACACATACAGGAAATAAAATATGCAGTCTGTATAGCACATACAGGAAATAAAATATGCAGTCTGTATAGCACAAAGGAAATAAAATATACAGTCTGTATAAAACATATAGGAAATAAAAAATGCAGTCTGTATAAAACATACAGGAAATAAAATATGCAGTCTGTATAGAACATACAGGAAATAAAACATGCAGTCTGTATAAAACATACAGGAAATATGATATGCAGTCTGTATAAAACAAACAGGATATAAAATATGCAGTCTGTATAGCACATACAGGAAATAAAATATGCAGTCTGTATAGAACATACAGGAAATAAAATATGCAGTCTGTATAAAACATACAGGAAATAAAATATGCAGTCTGTATAGCACATACAGGAAATAAAATTTGCAGTCTGTATAGCACATACTGGAAATAAAATATGTAGTCTGTATAAAACATATAGGAAATAAAAAAATGCAGTCTGTATAGGACATACAGGAAATAAACAAGATATGCAATCTGTATAGAACAAACAGGAAATAAGATATGCAGTCTGTACAGCACATACAGGAAATAAAATACACACTCTATAGAACATACAGGAAATAAAATATGCAGTCTGTATAGCACATACAGGAAATAAAATATGCAGCCTGTATAGCACATACAGGAAACAAAATATACAGTCGGTATAAAACATACAGGATATAAAATATGCAGTCTGTATAGCACATACAGGAAATAAAATGTACAGTCTGTATAAAACATACATGAAATAAAATGTACAGTCTGTATAGAACATAAAGGAAATAAAACATGCAGTCTGTATAGCACATACAGGAAATAAAATATGCAGTCCATATAGCACATACATGAAATGAACAAGATAAGCAGTATGTATAGCACATACAGAAAATAAACAAGATATGTAGACTGTATAGCACATAGAGGAAATATGCAGTGTAAAGTCTGTATAGAACATAAAGGAAATAAAGTAGTAATAGAAAACAAGGGTTTTAGCCCAAACCCTTTTTTACTACTACTACTACTACTACTACTACTACTACTACTACTACTACTACTACTACTACTACAGACAAGTATTTTATAACCAGACAAAACAACAGGTGTTGGAATGCTATGATTCATCCAAGTAAGCTCTGTCATACAGAGGTGACAAATTTGTTAGAACAGCGCATGCGTGGAATACGATTATTCTAAAGACGGCAAATGGGTTTTATAATCAGTCTACCACAAGTTTTTTTTATCAGATAACAGGATGAAAATTAAACTGTGCATTAAAACGGTTCAGTTAACAAGGTAGAAATTAAACTACGCATTAGAGGAAGGTAAGTGATATTATATCTTAAGTTCAGATAAAATTATACGTTACTCATATTTTTTTTTAGTAATTTTTTTCATACTTGCTAACCCTGATTGGTAGAATGTCTGTTAACATATTGTCAATAATACGAAATTCACGTAATAAATCATCCATATTATATTTGACTCCTCGTAGGTAAGACCGGATCTGATCAAGTAGTTTCTTGTAAGTTTTTAAAGATGTTAAGCAGCTATGCTTTTTTTATTAAAAGTCTTGGTTCTACTTTTTTACACGCCGCTGTAAGTGAAACACCAATACCGGATATGATTAATAAAAATGGATTTAATGATACCCCACTTGAAATTATATCAAAACTGGTCATTAACAAGGGTAGATATGATATTACTCGAAGGATCTTGTTGTAGTATTTGTAACATTTTTTAACACACCAACGTTTTTTTATGATAATATTTGTAGTATTGTTTTAGTGCATCCACATCCTGTACTGGAATATCTTTTGAAATATGATTGAAATCAACTATATTTCTTTTCATTATAATATTTGTTTGCATAATCCCTAGGATTGGTTATTATGATGTTTCAGCTACAAATTCCAAACACCAATTATAAGAGACATTTGTTAAAATTTTATCGACTGGTTCAAGTAAAAATTCTTCTTCAGAATTTTTATCTATTATTACAGATAAT